GGGGTTCTAAGTAATTTTTTAACAAAAAAATATGGATTAAACTTGTAAACAAATCATTCCAAAAATGATTGCCCTAAACAGTCTGGATGGAGGAATCTTTCTGCCGGCTATTGTATTCAGGGCCCGCCAGCTTTTGACTGAACGCAGTCAGCGCTCCACCAACCACGTATTACCTGCCTCCTCCAACAGTGGGATAAACAATGGACTTTTGTTGGCCTGGAAGGTGCTGGCAGGGCCTCTCACTTTGAATTTCACCATAAATGTGCTGATACCGGAGCAAACTATGTTCAGCTTTGTAAATAGGTGTCTGAGGGGAGTAACATTGTACAACTTCTATTATATACTGTATATTATAGGACTGCAATGACTGACAAACACAATGGTTTCCTTTATGTGCTGTCTATGAGAGGCCGGACAAGGCCTCGCTTATAACATCCCCCCACTACAGCCAGAGCTCAGCTCACACACTACAGCCAGAGCTCAGCTGCACTGACTAATTCCGGAAGGCACGTGATTGGTGCATTCCTTTGTCAGTCATGGAAGGCGACCATTCCCTGCAGAGAGCTGGCACGTGGTTGTTTGTGTTTTTTTCCCTCCCCCCCCCCCCCGGTGTCTGTTAGACATACGGGAGAAGCGCGGACCGGAGAGACGTGTGGAGGGGTCATATCATACCGTGTGATCGGAGCCTGCACTCAGGAGGTGAATACAGCACCTATAACCGCACTGCCTGCTAATCCCATCATCTGCACCTTCCATTCTGAGCTGAGGACAAAGGATGGGGAGTTAAAGGGTTAAAGCCTGCACCACGGTTGTCCCATTGGGGAGAGATCTCTTCCTTCCTTGTATACATATTCTATATGGTCTGCAAACTGCGGCCTGGGTGCACGATGTGGCCCTTTGCTGGCTTTTCTGGCCCTTGGGCCAGATAAAGGCCAGCAAAGGGCCACATCGTGCCATTGACACCATTGGCCAGCAAAGGGCCACATCGTGCCATTGACACCAACAATGGGGCAAAATTCCTGTCACTGACACCGACAATGGGGCATAATTCCTGTCACTGACACCGACAATGGGGTATAATTCCTGTCACTGACACCAATAAATGGGGTATAATTCCTGTCACTGATACCTACAATGGGGTATAATTCTCATACAGACACCTACAAAAGGGCACAATTCTCCCACTGACACCAATGATGGGGTACATTTCATTCCATGACACCAACAATTGGGCACTATTCCTCCCACTGACACCAACGATTGGGCACTATTCCACTGACTCCCGATTGGTGACTGTTTACACCTAAGTGTTTTCCAGAAACGCACTAGTCCATTTAACATATGAGACATGTTTAAGTGCAAAATATTGAGTTTTTTTCTATAGACTTCAATGGAGATGCTGTTGACACATTTTTAATCTGCCTAGCAACAACAAAAAAAAAAAGCGTCAAACGCATGTGCAAGAATGCAAAATATACCACAAAAAGTACTGCAGAAACAGATCACATGCAGACTGCATAGGTGTGAACCTAGCCTTAGGGAGTTTTTATTGTAAACTATGCGCTGTTTTACTAAGCAGATCTGCTGCTTTCTATATCCCTGCTGTGCAGATAGAAAGCAGCACGTCCATGCTGACAGGACAGAGATCTGTGTTGTTTTTTTCGGTTCACCGAGTCCTGTCCAGGACACTGTGATTGACGTGCTCAGGAGCTAATAACAGCGCAGATAGGGTGGCGTGTGCGCCCCCTACCTGGAAATGCAAAATCCTCATGTCACTGATTTAGCCCAGCAAAGCTGCCCTGTAGCAGTACATTTGTAGCAGTACATCTTGCAGTTCCAGCTGTGGAATAAAAAAGAACAGGCCACATTTTTCCTGCGCACGCAGAACTGTACTGGAGCGCAGTAAAACGCATCAAAAATGCACTGGAATGCACCAAAAACGCACTGGAAGGCACAGGTCCCTATTTAAATTGAAGAAAGAGGGGAAAAAAATGAACTGAAACGCATATGCAGAAATGCATCAGGACTGCGTTTCTATAGTGTGAACCTGCCCTTAGGGCCAATTCCCACCAGTGCATTTTGGCTCAGCTGTAAAATGCAGATCAATGGAAGGACATCTGAAAAACAATCCTTTCCAATGTGTCCTATTCACACCATACTGTTGCATTGCACTAAAATGCAAAATGTATGTCAACAGACATCAGTGCGTGTTAAAATGTAACTTAAATGGATGGAAATGTACATACAGTATAGCACAAGTCGGTGTGAACTGGCCCTTACTAAGTCAACCCCTTAATTTTAGCACATGGGATACAGGCAATTTGCCAGTTGGTGTGATGCACTTTTTTTAACCACAGAGTATTTACCCCCCCCCCATCCCCCTTTCTGACCAGGCCATTTTTATGCGATACGGCACTGCGTTATTTAACTGACAACTGCGCTGTTATGCAACGGTGTACATAAATGAAATTTATGTCCCTTTTTTTTTTCCCCCCCACAAATAGAGCTTTATTTTGGTGGGTTGTTTTATATACTCCGCGTTTTTTTTTTTTTTTTTTGGGGGGGGGCGCTATAAATAAAGGCTGTCAATTTTGGAAAAAAAAAAATCAACAATGATATTTTAGACTTTTTGCTATTAACCATGTCCAATAAACAATTTATAACAAATTTTGTCATAAATTTAGGCCAAAATATTTTCTGCTACATGCTAAATCCCAATACGTGTAAATTAATTGGTTTACGTGAAAGTTATAGCGTTTACAAATGGCGATATAGATACTGGATTTTTTTTTTCTTTTATACTAATAATGGTGGCGATCAGCAACTTATAGCAGGACTGGTGGGCATTTTGACCCAGGGTGGGAACGGACTAACTGCCACCCCCAGTGACAGTGATCGATGCTAATAAAAAGCACTGACACTACTAATGTCACTGGGCAGGAAGGAGTTAACTTTTGGGTTAAATCAAAGGGTTAACTGTGTGTTGTTTTACTGGGGAGGCATGCTGCTTTGTATTTCTCTGCTGTGCAGAGAAATACAAAGCAGTATGTTCTTGCTGACAGCGGAGAGACCTGTTTCATTTACACACAGGTCTCTCGCCTGTCAGCTTTGCACGGCGATTGCCAGGTGCCGGCTGGGAATCTCTGACCGGGACGCAGTGATTGACATGCCTAGCTGTGCTTCCCACCTGGAAATGCAAATAATGTATATCGCGCCTTGCCGCCCTGTAGCAGTACTTCTACTATCGGGGAAAGCGGTTAATTTTATTGGAAGTGCACTCCCTATTCAGGTCTTCACATGGTACACTGTGATGCAGCAATCTCTGCTGGCCTCCAGTACGCTGTGGAAAAAACGTAGCATGGCTTCACCTTACTGCACTGCACCCAACATCCGTGTTGGGGTACACAATTGCTTTCCATGTACACTTGTGGTGACTGGCATCCAGTGTGGAAAAACGCCAGTATAGAGGGGTATCTATCTAAACTGGAGCAGGCAGAATCAAGGGCAGATGAGTATGGGCACCAATCGGCTTCTATTTGAAGTGGAACTAACCCCTCCTATCTCTTACAGCTTTTATATTACAAAATACAAGACTTTGTGGTTATTATTATTTATTATTATACAGTTTTTATATAGCGCCAAAGGGTATGCTCAGCGCTGTACAGTAGCAAGGGGGACAGAACATGAGACAGGACAGTAACAATACAATACACGAGGGGTTCGAGGGCCCTGCTCTTTCGAGCTTACACTCTAGGAGGGAGGGGAAGGTGGCACAGGAGGAGATGGCTGTGGGGGATGGAGTGGTGGAGGTTAGTTGTTAGGTGAGGTTGGGGTAGGCTTCCCTGAAGGGAGGGTTTTCAGGGTGCACCTGAAGGTGAGGAGGGTAGGTGACAGTCTGATGGATTGGGGTAGGGAGTTCCAGAGGATGGGGGAAGTCCTAGAGAAGCCCTGCAATCGGGCGTGGGAGGAGGAGACCAGGGAGCTAGAGAGCAGGAGGTCCTGTGAGGAGCGGAGGGCACGGGTAGGGTAGTATTTGGGTATCAGGTCGGTTATGTAGTTTGGGGCGGCGTTGTGAATGGCTTTGTAGGTCAGAGTTAGCAGTTTGAATTTGATGCGTTGGGCAATCGGGAGCCAATTACTCCATCATGCAACATTGTATCTAAATGAATTTTATATTTTATTTTGACTGGTAAAGCTTTCTTTTAGTGATGATTAATAACAACTGAGAAGGGATTTTGAACTATAAAAAGTAAATGAAGACCAAACTTTTTGGGGGGGTGAAAAAAAAAAAAAAGAGTTTCCTTTACTTTCTGTTAAAATACAAAATGCCAGGATAGTAAAAACACTTGGAAAGTAGACACCCCAAGGTAATCCTGTTTTCTGCCACAATTTTTTGGGAATGAAGAAATTTGCTGACGTTGAGGAAGTTAAACAAACATGGAGCTTGGTAATGGCATACTAGATACATTTATTGTGAAAGTCATACACAGAGAGGAGAGAGAGCAAAGGTGCTTAAAATACTGGGCACATCCAGTGTGAGATGGTGAAGGGGGGGGGTAGATGTGCAGGATAAGGGAGGTGAAGGGTCACCAGAGAAACAGTGTGAAGATGAGGTATAGGAGAAGCGTGGCAGTGAAATTGTTAAGCTAAAAAAAATCCCAGTCTTTTAACACTTCCTCCCTCCGGGAGGATGCCGTGGTTGTTGCGAGATCTGTCACCGCCGTGTACCTCGGACATGGCTGATGACAGATCTGTGTGTACCGGCCCCATTGCCAGTACCACGTAACCAATCACAGCAGGTCACATGACAGTTGTATACAATGGATGGCTTCCTTTAATGCCATCCATTGTATACAAGTGTGCCTAGCTGTGAATGGTCACAGCGATCACAGGCTGAGCCAATCACAGCTCATCTGTATCATGTGATTAGCCGTGGCCAATCACAGCGGATCACAGCAAAAAAACTTGAATGAATTGCTTCATTCAGTTAAATGCTTGCTTATAGCAAAGAAATTATTTGCTATAATCGATCAAATTTGTGTGTAAAAAAAAAACAAAAAAAAAAAACCTGATTGCTTCTCCAAACTAGCACAATGTTACTATGTTTACCTCATACTACTTTGGTCTTGTGCAATATGAAAAAAAAAAGTCTTAAAAGAGAAAAAAAATGTAATTAAAAAAAAAATTTTTTTTTTTTCATACTGTCACCAGTCGGTGTCCCTGATCATCGCCCACACCAGTTATATGATGACACTGTACTGGTGACAGTATGTAAAGAAAAATTGTGATAAATGTTTTTAGAAATTCTTTATTTTCCATGAAATTATGATAAAAAATTACAACTTCAAAAAACTCGCCATGCCTCTTATGAAGTACGTCGGACTGTCCACTTTGCAAAAAGGGGTCATTTGGGGGATATTTGTACTGTTCTGACATTTCTGGGCCTCAAGAAATTAGATTGGCTGTCAGTACTTCGGGATTGATCAATTTTCCCATAGTTTGTGAACTCTACAACTTTCCTACAGATTAAATAATACTGATTTGGGTTATTTTCACCAAAGACGTGTAGCAGAATACATTTTGGCCTAAATTTATGAAGAACAATTATTTATTTGCAAACTTTTATAACCAAAACAAAAAACTTTTTTTTTTTTAACAAAATTTCAAAATTTCCTTTTTTTTTGTTTTTGTTTTAGAAAAAAATAAAAACCCCAGTGGTGATTAAATACTGCCAAAAGAAAGCTCTAGTTGTGTGGGAAAAAAGATAAAATTTTAGTTTGGGTACAGTGTTGCAATTATCATTCAAAGTGTGAGAGTGCTGAAAATTGGCTTGGGCAGGAAGGGGGTAAGAGTGCCCAGTATGGAAGTGGTTAAACCCAGCACTAAAAATGTAATCTATTTCAGCCTTTTAATCCTTATATGGGGTGGCTGCATAGAAAAATCCTCATTCTTGGTCAGTAATGGCCCTGTACAAGCACATGCCTTCAAATAACGCACATATGAGTATTCTTTTGTTTGTGTTTTTTTCCTCTGTTTTCACCTCTTGATCTGGACAGTGACTCACCACTTGCATTAGAGGGCCCCCACTCTGTAAGAAGGTGCACAGGGGGCACCTTTTGGACAGCTGCATTTTTTGGCTGGGGGAAGGGTAGAGCTAGATGTACTAGCAGATTTTAACACACTAATAAATTGAAGCTGAACTCCAGCTAACACTTTATAATCAGTGACAGCACTTTTTTTCTTTTGGGATAACGGTTTTACATAAATAATAAACTGACCATTGTAAGCACCTCTGTCAGTGGTAAAAGGATAGTCCCAACCCTCTATCTGCTATATCTGCAAGACAGCTTGCACTGTTGAATAATTCAGATCTGTGTGCTTTTGCCACGCTAAAATACGTTCTCAGAGTGTCAAAAGCGCATGTAAAATAGTCCACTTTAAATGCTACATAACTGTTCTCATCTTTGTGCCGTTTTTTTGCCCTTCAGTGCAGTTTGTGTGAAAACGCGCAACAAATGCACCTTCCATTATAGTCTATGATGGCGCACCAGAAACGCACTGCACTTTTAAATGTTTTTTTTTGAGTTACATGTCCATTTTTTGCTAGATGACCAGGAAGGAAAACACATTGAAAAGTCATCATGTGTGGAATTTTTAACGTAATGCAACTCCTGGGATATTGATCTGGTCAGTTAAGTAGCAAGGGGGTTGTTAATCAGTTTCAGCTGCTTTGGTGTTAATGAAATTAACGGGTGCACTAGATGGACAACAATGATACGACCCCCAAAACAAGAATGGTTTTACAGGTGGAGGCCTTTGACATTTTTTTTCCCAACTCATCTTTTCTGGTTTTCACTAGTTTTGCATTTGGCAAGGGTCAGTGTCACTAATAGTAGCAAGAGGTGATACCTGGACCCTACAGAGGTTGCACAGGCAGTCCAAATCCTCCAGGATGGTACATCAATACGTACCATTGCTAGAAGGTTTGCTGTGTCTCCCAGCACAGTCTCAAGAGCACGGAGATGATTCCAGGAGACAGGCAGTTACTGTAGGAGAGCTGGACAGGGCCATAGGAGGTCCTTAACCCATCAGCGGGACCAGTATCTGCTGATTGGTTCAAGGAGGAACAGGGTGAGCACTGCCAGAGCCCTACAAAATGACCTCCAACAGGCCACTGGTGTGAATGCCTCTGATCAAACAATCAGAAACAAACTTCATGAGGGTGGCCTGAGGGCCCGACATCCTCTAGTGGGCCCTGTGCTCACTGCCTGGCACCATAGAGCTTGATTGGCATTTGCCATTGAACACCAAATTGGTAGATCCGCCACTGGTGCCCTGTGCTTTTCACAGATGAGAGCAGGTTCACCCTGAGCACATGTGACAGACGTGAAAGGGTCTGGAGAAGCCGTGGAAAATGTTATGCTGCTTGTAACATCATTCAGCATGACCATTTTGGTGGTGGGTCAGTGATGGTCTGGGGAGGCATATCCATGGAGGGATGCACAGACCTCTACAGGCTAGACCAGCAATGGGCAAACTACGGCCCGCGGGCCGTATACGGCCCGGCGGACCTTTTAATCCGGCCCGCGGAGCTAGGCTCCCGCAAGGCCAGTGGTCGGCAAGCCCGGCTCTTTACAAATTTAGATGCGGCTCTCCTGTGTGCCGGGCGCCCGCTCCCCTCCCTCCTCTCCTCCTCTCCCCTCCCTCCTCTCCTCCTCTCCCCTCCCCTCCTCCTCTCCTCCTCTCCCCTCCTCTCGGATGGCCGCCCCCCCTCTGTAAGGATGGCCGCCCCCCTCCCTCCTCTCGGACGTCAGGACTCTGCAGCTGTCAGGATGTAGGCGGGGCAGCGTGACGAACTCCTCTCACAGTCCTCCCTGAAGACCAGAACGGCGCGGGAATACGAGAGGAACGCGCGGACCAAAGGTAAGTGAATTGACACAGGGGGGGGACTTACTATATGGGGGGGCATGAATTACTATATGGGGGACTTACTATATGGGGAATGAATTACTATATGGAGGACTTACTATATGGGGAATGAATTACTATATGGGGGACTTACTATATGGGGAATGAATTACTATATGGGGGACTTACTATATGGGGAATGAATTACTATATGGAGGACTTACTATATGGGGAATGAATTACTATATGGAGGACTTACTATATGGGAATGAATTACTATATGGGGGACTTACTATATGGGGAATTAATTACTATATGGAGGACTTACTATATGGGGAATGAATTACTATATGGGGGACTTACTATATGGGGAATGAATTACTATATGGGGGACTTACTATATGGGGAATGAATTACTATATGGGGGTTGACTTACTATATGGGGAATGAATTACTATATGGAGGACTTACTATATGGGGGATGAATTACTATATGGAGGACTTACTATATGGGGAATGAATTACTATATGGAGGACTTACTATATGGGGAATGAATTACTATATGGGGGACTTACTATATGGGGAATGAATTACTATATGGAGGGACTTACTATATGGGGAATGAATTACTATATGGGGGACTTACTAATATGGGGAATGAATTACATAATATGGGGGACTTACTATATGGGGGATGAATTACTATATGGGGAGATGAATTACTATGTGGGGGATGAATTACTATATGGGGGATAGGAATTACTATGGGGGATGAATTACTATAAGGGGATGAATTACTATGGGGGATGAATTACTATAGGGGGGGATGAATTACTATATGGGGGACGAATTACTATATGGGGGACGAATTACTATATGGGGGACGAATTACTATATGGGGGACGAATTACTATATGGGGGATGAATTACTATATGGGGGATGAATTACTATATGGGGTGCTAATTACTATATGGGGGATTAATTACTATGGGGTGATTAATTACTATGCTTACTATGGGGGAATATTACTATACTTACTATGGATGACACATGTACACATCATTCATCTACTCTTTGGTCCGGCCCCCGGGTCCAATATATGAACCCATTGCGGCCCTCAAGTCAAAGTGCCATTAGATATCAGGATGAAATCCTTGGACCCATTGTCAGACCCTACGCTGGTGCAGTGGGTCCTGGGCTCCTCCTGGTGCATGACAATGCCCGGCCTCATGTGTATGCAGGCAGTTCCTGGAGGATGAAGGAATTGATACCATTGAATGGCCCCCACACTTGCCTGACCTAAATCCAATAGAACACCTCTGGGATATCATGTTTGGATCCATCCGAAGCCGCCAGGTTGCACCTCAGACTGTCCAGGAGCTCAGCGATGCCCTGGTCCAGATCTGGGAGGAAATATCCCAGGACACCATCCATCGTCTCATTAGGAGCATTCCCCAATGTTGCCAGGCATGCATACAAGCAGGTGGGGCCATACAAACTGAGTATCATTTTGAGTTGCAATGAAATTTCAGCAAAATGGACTAGCCTGCTGCATCATTTTTTCACTTTGATTTTCAGGGTGTCTTTGAAATCAGTCCTCCTGTAGGTTGATTTTCATTTTCATCGAACGATGGGGCATCCTTATGTTCCTAACACATAACCCAGTCCATATCAGTATAGATATCCAGCATATTTTTCCCCATTGAGATCTGATGTGTTTTCAAAGTGTTCCTTTAATTTTTTGAGCAGTGTAGAAGTCCTAACATGCACAGAAATCTGAACAATTAATAATAGAGAGGACGCATTCCACAAATAGATGCTGTAGGGCTTATATCACTTGAACTGTAGTAGTTAGTCCGTTAAAGGAGAACTCCGTATTCACCCAGAAATTAAGTTTATATTTGCATAACACTGGTGTAAGGATATGAAAATGTAATGTACAACCCGTCATTTTTAGAATATACATAGTGTTTTTGTTGCGCATAGGAGTAATCACTCAATAGTGCTTGCTGGATATTTTTGTGTGACTGAGAGCATTGACCCTCAGATCTGTTGATTTAAAGTGAATGGGCTGTAACCCACTTCAGCACATAAAAATGTAGATCCTGCTGCATTTCTTGCAATGCATGTACAAGGCCCAAGGCCATTATGCCAACAGCAACTGTGGGCAGATCCCTGGCCCTGAAAAATATTAGTACTTGTACCCAATACATTTTTTATTTTTTTTTTTCTTGGTTTGAATGTGCAGTAGCATCTAGTGCTTGTTTGTGTGAACCCTTAAGTCCTCACAGCATTGATAACATGCTCTTTTTTAGTAACACAATGTGATTATTTATTGAATGTGTAAGAGGTGTAGAAAATAGGCAGCCCCATAAAATTTAAATCCAAAGCCTAATACCTAATATAACAGTAATCTATCTTTGTCAATAGAAGATACTAGTGATTGCATTTTTATTGTACCATCACAAGAGGGCAGAACTACTTCCTGTGATAATAGGAAGACACAGAAGTAGGAACTAAAAGTCTAACACTTTGTTTCCTACAGGACAGTGATTACAGTGAACATATCCAGTCACATGTAATTAAGGGTTTTCTGTGTTTGTTACAGGTAAGCAGGAGGCTGTTTAACATGATAAATAGGACAAAATGACTTAACATGTGCCCTGGTGGTTAGTAAATGTCGCTGTTACTATTATGCAATCAGATTACTTGTAGCATAAATGTGAATATATATTGCAGCTATGTGATTTGGCACTAAGATACAGGGAATGTGATTTTCTCTCTATTGTAATACGCTATTGTTATGCAGAATAGGTCACTAGCATATCTGCAGAGGTCTAGATATTCAGTATTGCAATTAAAGAGGTTTATTCAAGTATATGAAAATACTTATTAATGTATATGGAAATATTTAGTAAGGTATAGAGGACAGTGATTACAGTGAACATATCCAGTCACATGTAATTAAGGGTTTTCTGTGTTTGTTACAGCCATTCCTAATAAAACACTTCTGGTTTCACCCGACCCATCCTTCGCACAGTTGAATTATTTACCGTATGTGCAACAAATGCACTCCTCTCACTGTCATATGAGTGACTTATGTCTATTGCATATTACTTTTCAGGTATCATTATGGAAGTAGTCCACTCAGTAAAGGAGAGGACTATTGCAGAAAATAGCCTAGTCATCCTTTTACAGGGACTGCATGGACTTACAACTACTGTAGAGATGCGAGATGAAAGCTCTGCTAAAGGATTAGTTATAAATGTAGATGCTTTCATGAACGTACGCCTAGAAAAGGTCACTTACAAAGACCGTGAGGGCAAGGAATCCAAGCTGGATGATTTGTTTATCAGTGGGCGCAATGTGCGCTACATCCATATTCCAGAGGAGGTGGATATGATTCACACCATTCAGGAGCAGCTGAAGAAAATACAGAGTATCCGTGGATTTGGTGGAAAGGGAAGAAAAGAATTTCCTTCAAAGAAGTACAAATGATGCCTACTTACCCTGCTGTTGAACTGTTGAATAAAGCAATGCTGCTGTATAAATGTTTGCTTTTTTTTTTTTTTTTTTAAAGACATACATGGCTACTGAACATCACGACCCTTAATTGGTGTTAAATTAAGTTATGTTGTTAAAACGATGTAGCAAAATGCAATCATTGTGTAAATATGATTATTTTGCTGCATGGTAGTATACAATTGTATGTTGTGGGAAATCTGATTAAATGGAATAAACACTTTTTTTTTTTTTTTTTTTTTTTTTTTGTTGTTGTGTATGTCTTGATGGCAAGAGGGTAGAAGAGTGGTGGTTAATCTGGTAAATAAAGAGGGCAACTGCAAAGAAAAAAAAAAAAAATCAGGGCACCAGCTTAGTGGAGTCCAAAGGGCTGCACAACAGAATTTGTACTTATTTTTTTATGTTTGTAGAACACCCATGCTAGTGTGTACTGCAATGCTTTGTTAAAATACATTGCTGTGCTGACTGTTTTTTTTTTTTTTTTTTTTTTTTAACAACTTGTTTGTAATTTCTTTTTTTATGTGTTGCAGCACTTTGCAATGCGTTAATGTTTCAGAAATTGCTGCAAAGAAAAAATGCACCACGTCTAACTTTTTTTTTTAAGTGGCATGTTAGTGTAAACTGAAGCCAAAGCACATAAGGCAAATTATTTTGTTCTTACATGGGGCAATGCAGCTGGTGAGAACAAGAAATTTAAGGCATTTACAGCCAATCATATCACATTAATTATAGAAACTCACATTTTACATTTACCAGCAGTAGGTTACCACCAGGATAAGTTGGGGCTTGTGCATACCCAGGAGTGATTTGCTAAAAGTGGAGAGTGCAAAATCTGGTGCAGCTCTACATAGAAACTAATCAGTGTTGAGGGTTTATAGTCAAAGCGTAATTGAACAAGCTGGAGTTATAAGCTGATTGGCTACAGCAGTTTCTACTGAACTGGCTGAGATTTGAACCATGTATGGGCAGACTGAGCGTACCAAGTTGATCGATCAACTTGAGTATACCCAAATGCCAGATTTTACATGTGCTTGTCACTAGGGGCTAGTATAGCTACTAACAATAATCGTCTTCTCTCCCAAAATTTGCTCAACTCTCTAATCAACACAGCCAGTGTTGATGGAGGATTTTCCAACCCCCACCCACCCATGGTTGCAGGAAAGTAATTTGCTTTGTGTATGGGCTGCTTTAGACACAAGGGCAGTGGAGTATGAGAAGCTATTTTGGGCACCTGTTGAAACTAGATTTACCCCATACAAAAATCACATCTTTACACAGTTGCTATGGAATAGTTTGCCTCCCTTTTTATAGGTTGTTTTGGTTTTTTACTAAAAGTCACAGGCTAATTGTATGGCATCTGAGTGTGGTTTTGCCTTCTGTTTAATTTTGGTTGGGGGAGTCTGTTGACTTCTATAAGGCCAGGTCCTTTGAACTCCCCTTAGAAGTTCTGAAAGAACATAAGGTACAGCAGAACACTGTTTGTAAACACATATTCTCATAATAGCTGGAACCTCTGACTTCACCCTTGTATTTTATTGTGGGCACAGATTTTTGGCACACACATTCTTGTGTAATGTTTTCTGTGTGCCAGCTAAATATGCCAACAATCTCTGCTGGTGTAGACCTAACCACTGTGGATAATTTGTAGATGTTCGTACTACTACTGACATTTGATAAGGTTTCATCACATACTGTTTCAGAACTATTTCTATTCCAGCTTTGGTAGTTTCCTGGTTGGGTGTGAAGTAGGGTGATTATCTCCCCACGTCTCTTACTGCACACCTTCAAACTAATCGATTTTCTCCTGTCTGCCTCATGCTGCAATCAATAAAGCAGGCCATACATAGATATTTTTGGCAGCCTGAAAACTAACTGAAAAACATATAACAGATTCCTCTATCCACACTAAACCATGCATATAGATGAATTTCCCGCTATGGCTATTTGATATTCTGACAGCAGGTAAAAAATTTCTGAACAATAGTGTAACCGATTGAATGCTGGTTCTGTTTAGATGACAAATTCCTGCCTGGCCCTCTGATATTTCTTTTTAGGGACGTTGGGCAAAAGAATGCCATCCAGGAGTGGATTTCGGAGAATTGAAGGTTCTGGAGCTTAAAGGGGACATTACAGGGAGGCAGAAAAACAAGAAATTATTTCATGAAAAATAGATTACAGGGCCGATAAAGAATAAGTTCACTTTAGACAAAAAAAATAAATTTTAATATTTTTGCAGGTTAAAAAAAAAAATTAGCATTTATTATTTTTTGTTCTAGGAGCCTGTAAAGCATTGCTCCAGCAATCAGCAGATTGCTGGTGCCATGCAGGTCTCCCTCAGGCCTGTCAGTATATCTGCTTGCCTGTACATCCCGTACAAGCAATCCGATACACTCTGACAGGAAGTTTCAATGAACTACCACAGTGCTGTTGTAGTTCATTGAGAACTACAAGCCGACAGCCGCTAAGACTTGTTTTCTCATTCACATTTTTAATTTTGACAGCGAGGGGAGAAGACCTCCTGCTAGATGTCGAAGCAGGGGACAATCATTTCATAATATGTTAAACCCTGAATATGGATGTAACATGTTATGAAAGGTGAACTTATCCTTTAACCACTTGCCCTCCAGAGGGTTTACCCCCCTTCATGACCAGGCCATTTTTTTTTGCTGTTCGGCACTGCACTATTTCAACTGGTAATTGCGCGGTTGTGCAATGCTGTACCCAAACAAAATTTATGTCCTTTTTTTCACATAAACAGAGCTTTGTTTTGGTGGTATTTTATCACCTCTGCGGTTTTTAATTTTTGCGCTATAAACAAAAATTTAAATTAAAAAAAGTATTTTTTGCTTTTGGTTATAAAAAATATCCAATAAATTTTGGCTAAAAAATTCTGCTAGGTAAAAAAAAACCTCTCAATACATGTATATTAATTGGTTTGTGTGAAAGTTGTAGCGTCTACAAACTATGGTATATAGATTCGCAGCGATACCTCACATGCATGGTGCAACCGCTGTATACATACTGGCATGGGTCAATGCTTGCGCACGCAGGGAGGAAAGGGTGCTTTTTTTTTTTTTTTTTTTTTATTTTTTTACACTGTCCCTTTTTTTTTTTTTTTTTATCACTTTTAATGCTATCACAAGGAATGCAAATATCCCCTATAACGTCAATGGGCATTGTCATATATTCTTTTTTGAGAAATCTGGGGTCTATCAGACTCTAGATATCTCCTCTGCCCTTACATTATCTAATCTCACCAAGATCGGTGTGATCAGATGCTTTCCCAATTTACAAATGTCGCTGTTTATATCCTGTGAAACTGAAGTGATAAAATGCTCGTAGCTTCCTGTCTCTTAGACTATAGAGATGATTGGAGCCATTCTGGTCTCTGGTCAGCTCTATGGTCAGCCAGCAGAACTGCCGGCTGCATTCTTGGATTCCCTGTGGGATCAGGAGAGCCCAAGTAAACTGTGGAAAGCAGCAGGGGGGGATGTCCCTTCCAGCTGCTCGTAAAAACAATTCAGCAGCTAATTGGCCACTAGGATTGCTTTTACATGAAAGCGGTACCAGAATGATGCGATAGTGTGCATTCAATCTAACGCTAGCTGACCCTGACGCTCTGATGTCACTAGTGGCAGGAATACAGTGATCAGTGTGAAAAATTCTATATACTGACACTGTACTAATGGTGCACTGGACTGGGTGACGGGGAGATCAAAGGGTTAAATGTGCTAATCTAATATGTGTGTAAAATGTAGTGGTGCTTTTATTTGGTGCGGTGTTCTCACTTCTCTCCCTGGACGGAAGGGTGGGGGGGGGGGGGGGGGGCAGTGAGGGATGCGGGTGTGTTCACACCCCAAAATAGGCAGCGACACAAGATTACGTTGTCAAGAGCTGCTGCTCGCCCGGAAAATGCAGGTAAGCGGTTGGCAAGTAGTTAAAAAAAAAAAAAAAAAAAAAAAACAATTCTCAATGGTTTTTTTTTTTTTTTTAAACTTTTTTTTAAATACTTTTATCAGAATAGTACAATGTTACCATAGTAACATTGCATTACTGTGTGTGTGGGTGATCAGGGATTTTTTTTTTTTTTTTTTACACTTTGCAGGAGAAACAAAGATCATTTCTCCTGCAATGCAAGGCATGCTGCCAGGACTAAACTCATTCATGAACTGTCATGAATAAGTTAAGTTTTGACAGCTCAGGATAATGATCTGTGATTGGCTGGAGCTGGTCACATGGTACTGTGCTGAGATTGGCCCTATGTATCATGTGACAGCTGTGGGCCAATCACAATTCACTAGGAAGAGAAGCAGAGCTGTTATGAATGACACTGATTCATAACCGCTTTGCTTACATAGTGATCATGTGATCGCATAGCAATCACATGATCACTGGGATTTTCATACCGCTGTGTCTGCTGGACACAACAGTCGTGAGGGGGGAGCGCTGCGTTCCCACTCGGGCGCATGGCACCCCCTTATGTTCGTACAGCCAGAGCGACGTACGGGTACGTCGCTTTGCCTGTAGCTGCTGTTCTGCCGCAGTACATGGCGGGCGGGAAGCGGTTAAGTAGTGGATGCCGATGAATTCATTTTGAAGTATAGTTTCACTATTAGAAAATCCGGCACCACAGCTTCTCAAAAAACATAAATTACAAATTTTATTTCATTCATCACATAAAAGAGGAATCAATGCTGGTACATATTGACGCGTTTCAGTCTCTTACAGAGGTCTTAGACATAATCGAATAACAGCATCCTCCTTAGGAGGCTGAAATGTGTCAATATGTACTGGCATTGATTCCTCTTTTATGTGATGGATGATAAGTTAGTATTTTAGTATTTTTTGAGAAGCTGTGGTGCTGGATTTTCATTTCTACATTGGATGCCACAATGCTATAGTACTGCGATTATCCAGGCATGCTCCTCTCTATCCCTGTAAGGGACCGCCTGGCGGTACCACTAGCACTCCACTGA